TAAAAAATCTCATATTTAATGTTATAATTATCACTGATATGACCATTTTGTTTACGAGTGTAAAAATAATTTTGTTGAAGAAAGAGCACACCTTGTTAAAGGCAAAGTTGAAGAGGTAGAACTGATCTTGTTGTTGGCATACAAAGAAGAACAAAAAGAAGACAAGAATGTGTGGTACCTTAAATCCAGTGCTAGTAATCATATGTGTGAAAACAAAGAGATGTTTGCAGAGCTTGATGATTCAGTGAATGGAAAAGTCACTTTCGAAAATTCTTCTCAAATTCCAATAATGGGAAGAGGTAATATTTTGATTCGTTTGAAGGATGGAATGCATCAAGTAATTTATAATATTTTTTAATGTGCAAAACATGAAAAATAATATTTTGAGTTTGGAACAACTCTTAGAGAAAGGTTATAATATTTTCATGAAAAATCATAATCTTAAAATAAGAGATGGGAATGAAAATTTGGTTGATTAAGTGCCGATGAAAAAAAATAGAATGTTTTTGTTAACTATTCAAAGTGATGAGACAAAATGTTTGAAAACATGTGTTAGAGATTCTTCTTGGTTATGACACTTGAGATTTGGGCACATAAATTTTGGAGGACTAACTTTTTTGTCTAGAAAGAAGGTGGTGAAAGGACTGCCTTCTATCAACCACTCGGATCAATTTTGTGAGGGATGTCTAATTGGAAAGAAAGCTAGAAAGAACTTTTCCAAAGAATCCATTTCAAGAGCAACCAAACCAATTCAACTTATTCACTCGGATGTTTGTGGGCCTATAGACCCACAATTGTTTGGTAAGAACCGGTATTTTCTTCTCTTCATTGATGATTTTAGCCGAAAAATGTGGGTTTATTTTCTAAAACAAAAATCAGAGGTGTTTGGTATATTCAAAAAAGTTTAAGGTTTTGATTGAAAAACAAAGTGGGTATGAAGTTAAGGCAATTAGATCTGATAGAGAAGGTGAATTCACATCAAATCAATTCAAATATTTTTGTGAAAAAAATGGAATTTATCGTCCTCTAACAGTTCCAAGATNTGGCAATTAGATCCGATAGAGAAGGTGAATTCACATCAAATGAATTCAAATATTTTTGTGAAAAAAATGGAATTTATCGTCCTCTAACAGTTCCAAGATCACCACAACAACAATGGTGTTGCCGAAAGGAAGAACGGAACTATTCTTGACATGACTCGGAGTATGTTGAAGACTAAGAAAATGCCCTAGGAATTTTGGGCAGAAGCTATTGATTGTGCCATCTACTTGTTAAATCGGTGACCCACTGCAAGTGTTCAAGACAAAACATCAAAAGAAGCATGGGGAGGAATCAAGCCAAGTGTCTCATTTGCGGGTCTTTGGAAATGTATGCTATGCACATGTGCCGGATAAAAAAGGTACCAAACTAGATGACAAGAGTGAAAAGTTTGTCTTCATTGTCTATGATTCAAGAAGCNGGGGAGGAATCAAGCCAAGTGTCTCATTTGCGGGTCTTTGGAAATGTATGCTATGCACATGTGTCGGATAAAAAAGGGACCAAACTAGATGACAAGAGTGAAAAGTTTGTCTTCATTGTCTATGATTCAAGAAGCAAAGGTTATAAGCTTTACAACTCAAGCAATAACAAGATAATCATTAGTAGAGATGTTGGGTTTGATGAAGAAGATGAATGAGATTGAAACACTCCACAAGAAGACTACGGTTTTTTCCCATTCTTTGAAGAAGAGGAGGAGCCCAATGAGATCATAGAGCTACCCATTTATTCTTCTCCACCATCACCACCATCACCCACCAATGTGCAAGCATCTCCATCATCATCCAAAGCAAATTCAAGTGAAAGGCCACCTCGCATGAGGAGTCTTCGAGATATCTATGAAGAAACCAAAGAGGTAACTCAAAGATTTAATGATCTACCACTCTTTTGCCTATTTGCCGATTGTGATCCCATAGGCTATGAGAAAGCGGTACAAGATAAGAAGTAGAGAAGTGCCATGAATAAAGAAATTGAAGCTATTGAAAGGAATGGAACATAAGAACTTGCCACATTCCTAGAGGACCAAAGGTTATTGGAGTGAAATGGATGTACAAGACAAAGAAAAATGTCAAAGGTGAAGTGGAGAGGTACAAAGCAAGATTGATTGCAAAAGGCAATAGTCAAAGACCGGGTATTGACTATGATCAGGTATTTGCATCCGTTGCTCATTTGAAAATAATTAGATTGATTATTTCTTTAGCCGCTCTAAATAATTGAAAAATTCACCAAATAGATGTGAAGTCCAGTTTTTTGAATGACTTTCTTGATAAAGAGGTGTATGTTGAACAACCCTTGGGTTATGTTGTGAAAAGGCAAGGAGAGACACTTTTAAAATTAAAGAAGGCTTTATATGGCTTGAAGTAAGCAGCAAGGGCTTGGAATAGTAGACTTTACAAGTACTTTCAAGTAAATAATTTCATCAAGTGTCTCCATGTACATGCTCTTTATGCAAAAGTGAATGATAATGGTGATATATTATATGTTTGTTTGTATGTGATTGACTTGATCTTCGTAGGAAATTGTCCAAGAATGTTTGAAAATTTCAGGAAAGCAATGACTAAAGAATTTGAGATTATCGACATTGGGCTTATGTCATACTACCTTGGCATTGAAGTGAATCAAATGAAGGAAGGTATTATCATCTCCCAAGAAGGTTATGCTAAAAATTTTTTGGCAAAATTCAAGATACAAAATTGTAAGCCGGTATGTACACCCGTTGAATGTGGTGTAAAATTGTCAAAATATGAAAATGGAGAGCATGTGGATTCCACCTATTTCAAGAGCTTAGTTGAAAATTTGAGGTATTTAACATGCACAAGACCGGATATTCTTTTTGGTGTTGGTCTTGTAAATCGCTATATGGAAGGTCCTACCATGACCCACTTGAAGGCAACGAAAAGAATTCTTAGATACATCAAATGTACACTTGATTATGACTTGTTATATTTTTGTTCTAACAATTTGAAGTTTGCAGGCTATTATGATAGTGATTGGGCCAGAGATATGTTTGATAGAAATAGTAATACCGGATACGTTTCCTTCTTGGGAGATAGCGTATTTGATTGGAGTTCAAAGAAACAACTCATTGTGACTCTTTCGACTTGTGAAAACCGAGTATGTGGTGGCTACATCATATGTTTATTAAGCCATTTGGTTTAGAAATTTGTTGAAGGAGTTTCATTTGCCTCAAGAACAATCAATGGAGATCTTCATTAACAACAAATCAACACTAGCGTTGGCAAATAATCCGGTGTTTCGAGATCGTAGTAAGCATATTGACACAAGGTTTCATTTTATTAGAGAGTATGCGACCAAAAAAGAGGTGGAGCTCAAGTTTGTGAAGTCACATGACCAAATTGCTGATATTTTCACTAAACCCCTCAAACAGGATGTCTTTTGCAAATTGAGAAGTTTGCTTGGAGTTGAGAAGAAAATTCATGTTTAAGGGGGGTGTTTAAAAATAATAATAAACATGACTGTTCATATTCTAAGAGTTATTTTTATGCAATTAGTTTTTGTATTAGTGAGTTATCAATTTGCTATTAGTGGAGGACAAAATAATTGTGGTATTTTAATTCTCCAAGTAATGGCGGAGTGGGGTCTTTGTTATATTTTTTATTGCATTATGTAGTGAGTTATATTGTATAAGCCTATATATATCCAATATAATACATCTATTTGGATATGAATAAATAGAAAGATTTATTCCTATCTTTAATAGTCTCTTCCATTATATTTTTTTTGTGAGTGTGTGATAGTTCTCTAGATTCCAACATGAACTTCATTATTTAGGGCGTGGATGAAAAGTTCAAAAAAAAAAAATATTTGACAATTAAGAAGTGGTTTTCTACCTAGATATTGCTGGATCAATAATGCTACATTTACCAAATTTTGGGATCAAATTTGGAGTCTAAATGACATGGCAGCTGACTTGAGATTCTTTATTTAGTGTTATGTCATTTAGGCCCTAATACGGACTCCAAATAATATGTTGTCATGTCATTTGAACTCTAAATTTGATCAGCATAGCATTACTGTTTCTGGATTTCTCAAAGGAAAAAAAATCAGAAACTGGTGTTCAATCGAAGAAAATCACCAACGGAAAGTGTATCATAGAGATTAATACCATCAACAAACTAAAATAAATGGACTTGAGAGAGAAAGAGATGAACCATCAATCAGCATATCTAAACCAGTCGCCAATACTCTCTACCAGGAGGAGTTTATCAGCAGTAACTCTCTCTCCAAACCTGTATGAAAATTTTAGCACTCCCTGTGAATTTACAGAACCCCTTTGCACTGGATAGCTCACCATCGCGCTGCCTCCACAAGAGTAAGCACCATCAAAAAGTTCTTTCATGGGCATATGCACCTCGCCAACGTATCGGTCGCCAAGTTTACGCTTACAATACAACTTGATCACAAGAGAAACACCGTAGTGTTGAACCATAGACTCGCTGATGGTGTATTTCATGGTGAAGTTCCATGCCGGATCTGTCTCTCCGTGCTTGTCCGCCGGAGTTCGTCTTTCGGTTTTTGGGTCGCTTCCGATTGAAACCCTGGCGTAAACTTTCATTTTGAANCTTACCAAATTTTGGGATCAAATTTGGAGTCTAAATGACATGACAGCTGACTTGAGATTCTTTATTTAGTGTCATGTCATTTAGGCCCTAATAAAGACTCCAAATAATATGTTGTCATGTCATTTGAACTCTAAATTTGATCAGCATAACATTACTGTTTCTGGATTTCTCAAACGAAAAAAAATCAGAAACTGGTGTTCAATCGAAGAAAATCACCAACGGAAAGTGTATCATAGAGATTAATACCATCAACAAACTAAANGAAAAAAAATCAGAAACTGGTGTTCAATCGAAGAAAATCACCAACGGAAAGTGTATCATAGAGATTAATACCATCAACAAACTAAAATAAATGGACTTGAGAGAGAAAGAGATGAACCATCAATCAGCATATCTAAACCAGTCGCCAATACTCTCTACCAGGAGGAGTTTATCAGCAGTAACTCTCTCTCCAAACCTGTATGAAAATTTTAGCACTCCCTGTGAATTTACAGAACCCCTTTGCACTGGATAGCTCACCATCGCGCTGCCTCCACAAGAGTAAGCACCATCAAAAAGTTCTTTCATGGGCATATGCACCTCGCCAACGTATCGGTCGCCAAGTTTACGCTTACAATACAACTTGATCACAAGAGAAACACCGTAGTGTTGAACCATAGACTCGCTGATGGTGTATTTCATGGTGAAGTTCCATGCCGGATCTGTCTCTCCGTGCTTGTCCGCCGGAGTTCGTCTTTCGGTTTTTGGGTCGCTTCCGATTGAAACCCTGGCGTAAACTTTCATTTTGAAGAGTTTCCGAACATCCTCAAGATCATTCGCTGAAACTAGAGTTATCTCAAACTTCCTGCACTCCATGGTTGTGTGTGTTTCGTTGGGGACTTGAGCAAACAGGTGAGGACTATTTGTCCTACAATCCATTAATTTCTTTTATATTATTTTTTTTTTGAGAATAGTGAGAGGGAGAAAGAGAAAAAACGGAGAAAATGAGAGGCAGACAAATAAAATATTATAAAAAAATTTTACATATTGCTACAGTAAGATTCTAAATATAAAATATAACTATAGCAAAATATTATTTTAAATATTTTAAAGATAAGCTGTTACAATTGAATTTTTGAATTAAATAGCTAAAATTTGAAGATTTTGTGTCTTTTAGCTCATCTCTCGGAGATGCTCTCACCCACCTTCATCCCAAAAAAAGTATTAATAAAAGTAAACTTAAGTTTTTTGGAAACAATATGGTCATCCCCTAACTTTTATAAAATGATAAGATTATCCATTATTTTTGAAAGTTATGCATTGAAGCCCTTAACACTGACTCAGCAAAATTGACATTGAATCTCTGTAATATAAATATATAACAATTAAGTGATAAGTTCTCATGTTAATCGATTCGTCAAAAGCATTAGGTTTGAATTAGACTCATCCACAAGTTAAAATTGTGATACTAAATTATGGGTTAATCTATCCAAATTTAACAATTAACCATTATTGGGATAACTTCCATAATTCATCCATTAATCACCCATCTGAAAAGTAATTTGATAATTAAATAATTATCAAATTACGCTATATTACTATTAATACTGGTAATTGATTACCTAATTAGACAAATTCTTTGTCAGCCACAACATGATCGTGCCACCACTAAAACCATATTTACAATCCACCACCAAATAGATAAGAGTGTGACGGAGTCAGTGAAGAAAGAGTAGGTAGAAGTAAGGGGTCAAAGGTGAAAACTTTGATAGTAACTAAAGTGTGCTGATCAGTTTCGCTTGTGGGTTTGGAGGGCTAAAATGGTTGGGAAAAGTGAGAGCGAGGGAAAAAAAAAAGCGATAGAGATTGGGGTTGAGGTGATGAGGGTGGAGTGGGAGGTAGTATTTAGTTCAATAGGTTAGGAGATGGAGAGAGGTTTGTTTATGGTCACAGGGTACGAGTGAAAATACGAATTTGATCTGATCTATTTAAGTAGTTTTGGTCAAAAAATAGAGGGAAAAAGGTCTTTAACGAGAAATCGGGAACATAAACGAATTGTTTATATCTATCAGTGTTGTCGTGCTAATTTTCAACTGCACCAAGATTTTTATGCTTTTTTGGCATTACTTTGGGGGTCTAAATAGAATTTATCCATATATACACTACAAGAAATTGGTCTTTTAGTCGCGAAAATTATTGCGGCTAAATGCATAAAAATTGTCACTATATTCTTTAGTGACAATATTTTTATTGCCACTAAGCCGTGGCAATGTGTGTGGCTAAATCATTTAGCTCTGACATTTAATTGTTACCACTAAAAGTAAATTTTTTAGCTGCACAATGAAAAATGTCACTAAATGTGAAATATTTAGCCGTCATAATTATTGTAGCAATTAAACTAAATTTTGCCACTAAAATATACTATATCACCACTAAAAACCAGTTTAAAACCTGACTTTTAGTGACAACAATTAATTGCGGCTAAAAGTTTACATTTTATCCACAATTGAAATCACCACTAAAATTTAAAATATGATTTTTTTGACAACTTATTGTCGTTACTAATTAATACATTAAAATGAACAAACAAACCTGTCGCATAATTTTTTGTTTTTTAAAAACAGAAGAAATTTATTAAATAAATCTCAAAATTTACAAGAATAAAAACACAGAAACTGTTTTAACAGGAAGAATAAAAAAACTGTTACAAAATTCTATTACAAGAAAAGCAGCTAAAAAGTTCCCTGTATAGTTGCTGCATTTGCTGGCCCTCAAGTCTCTGGCCCTTAATCAGAACTCACCATTTTCCTCATCGTTTTGTAGTACATAGAAGCAGCTGCAATACTTCCAAGATAATAGTACACCTGAACAGAAAAGGAGGCAGACCCCTGTCTGTCCAGTTGCTGAACTGCAAATCCTGCCTACTGATCCTGCTGTAAAAGCAGTCTTCCTNTCCAAGATAATAGTACACCTGAACAGAAAAGGAGGCAGACCCCTGTCTGTCCAGTTGCTGAACTGCAAATCCTGCCTACTGATCCTGCTGTAAAAGCANCAAGATAACAGTACACCTGAACAGAAAAGGAGGCAGACCCCTCTCTGTCCAGCTGCTGAATCTGCAAATCCTGCCTACTGATCCTGTTGTATGAGCAGTCTTCCTCCATTTTCAACTTCCATCCTTTACAGCAGCATAGCTTCAACACAGCAACACAGAGTGCAGCACATTACAGAGATGCAGCACCAGTACATCTGCTTCACCAAAACACCTTAGCAACTGCTAACTGACATAATAGAAAACAGTCCAGTACGTGAAAATAATAAACTCAAATAAACTTTCACTTTCAAAAATATATTTCTCAAACCAAATTACGTGAAAATAATATTATGATATTAGCATCGTTAAATTGTACGTGTACAACGCGTCATCATCAAAAAATAGGAATGAACAAAAAAAGTTATTGCATAACAATCAAGTCTCAAGTCTCAACTACATATTTTTTTTTTGACAAGTTATTAGATCTTTAGTCTTGAAACAATAAAAACAAAAAGTGACAATGAAACAATAATTAAAAAGCTCCAAAATAGGGGCACAATCCATCAACATGTGGGCCATAAAAAAAAAGGAGCTAACAAAATATACCTGAACACTCCATCTCAGAGATTAACAAAAGAACTTCTAGACANAAAGCTCCAAAATAGGGGCACAATCCATCAACATGTGGGCCATAAAAAAAAAGGAGCTAACAAAATATACCTGAACACTCCATCTCAGAGATTAACAAAAGAACTTCTAGACACGGAGAACAACTCTTTGATCAAAAAGAGAGAAGACTCCACTATAGAAATCTGAGCATAGAGCATATTTTAGGGAAGCTGCTCTACTTGCTCAAAGGACTAGTGACAAAAAATATGGACTAACACGGGATAAAATATTGAGCAACTAGATGAGGAAGGATTCTGCATCAAAACAATGAAAAGCCTAAAATTCAAGGCTTTCATCACTCCANAAAATATTGAGCAACTAGATGAGGAAGGATTCTGCATCAAAACAATGAAAAGCCTAAAATTCAAGGCTTTCATCACTCCAAAAAAAACCAACCAATCTGTACAGTCTTCAATCCCCCTGTCCAGAGATATGAAGAGGCAATATAACATTCTTCTTCCTTAAAACTTTGGTACCCTGCTGATCTAGCTGCTACAGCTTCCTGGCCTGATCAAGAATGTTTAACAGACAAGNCCTGTCCAGAGATATGAAGAGGCAATATAACATTCTTCTTCCTTAAAACTTTGGTACCCTGCTGATCTAGCTGCTACAGCTTCCTGGCCTGATCATGAATGTTTAACAGACAGGAAAAATCAGTAGGATGAAGGACTGAAACCCATCACCCGTTAGAAAAGGAAGCCCTATCAATTACATATTAGAATCGCATGAATGCATATTGATCATAAACCCGAAAGCACATATCTTTAATCACTTATACTGTTTACATCAACTACACGGTGTAGGAATAAAAGAAGGCTAGTGGCATTGTAGTTCTGCCACGATGCGGTCATTAGAAATAAATTGTTGTGTTGTATAAACATATATCATATGTGATGCCATTATCGTACACAACTGGATCTTGAGACTCAGGATCACCCTAAAATAGATCAAAACACCCCAAGAATCATAAGTAGTTCCACTTTAGCTGACTTTACTCCTCAAAACTAAACAGTTACAAATTGAAACAGAACAAATGAGTAGATTAAAGTAGATTTCACAAAGAAACCTCGTATGAGAATTGCAATGTATACAAATAATCAGAAAACATAAGCTATCTCTAGCTTAATTCAATGTTACAAATCTAAAATCAATTTGAAATCAAAGTAAATGAAAACTCCAATTCAGCTTCATTGAATCACTAATCTTATTAATTCAACAGTTTTCTATTAGAACATGAAAGTGGTCTAAATCCAGGTCAATAAAATACAGAAACTACACATAAGGTTAAACAAAAACATAAATTTGTCATAAATTAGAGATCTTAGTTTTTTAAAAAAAAAATCAAATTCACTTCAATAGAACACCTGGTAATCGCGCCAGACTAGAACGCGGCCCTTGATGTCGAGAAGAAAAAGTGCAGACGTAGCCCCAGCCATTGAGCTTAGGGTTTCAGATTCCGAGATCAGAGATTAGATCAGCATCATCAGATGTTGATGAGATTTGGAAGTATTTTTGTAATTAGATGAAATTGAGGGTTTTGAATAAGGAGATTACAGTGCGGTGGTGGCAATGGAGGTGTCTTTGAGGGAGTCTTCAAACCAGTTAGAATCGTGACGGAGAAGGAATTGAGAGATCGACGATTGAGAGAGAGAGAGAGAGAAAGACAGTGAGAGAGATCGACGATGTGGTGGAGGTGAACGTACTATTAAACGCCCAAATTTTGTATAGTGTACTAAAATTGACATTCAGTGGCAAAAAAATAAATGGCAGCTAAAAATAAGGCATAGTTGCTGCAAACTGAAAAATGTTATCACTAAAATTTTATATTATTAGTGACTAAATTTAAATTATTGTCACTAAATATTTGTAATTAGTGATGAATTAATAATGTATTTTTGTTGCAACATTTAAATTATCACTAATTAGATTCATTATCGTTTCTTCAGTGACAAATAATTATGGCAACTAAATAATTTTAACATCATACTTTCAATGACAATAATAATTTTTTGCCACCAAACATATTCATTTAGTAACAATATTTGTAGCTACGATCTAAATTATGCGGCTAAAAGTTATTTTTTTTTGTAGTGATAAAAGCAAAGAAAAAGATGTTGGCATGATTTTCACATATGTTCATGATGACAATATAATTTCCCGTGGTACTAGGCTCTCTCCTTGCACTTTCCCTACGCGTTTAGTTGAAAAATGCTCAGAAGTTGTGATCAAAGAAAGATGTGGGAATCTACCCACAGTTGTTCATAATTAAATAAAAAGACAATTGATAAATTCAACTTATTCTCTACTCTAAATTGGTTAATTTCATTTATTTCTCATATTCATTGATGCGTGACCATACTTAGAAACAGTAGGTAAGGCACGTGATGACAAGGGGGTCATAGGTTATCAAAGAAAATTATCTTTTGAACTTGAGGCAAATTTCGACAACCTACAACATCCAAATACTTGTCGTCTCATTTAATCATTTCTGTTTCATTCCCTCGCTCCCTCCCTCTCTCTCTCTCTCTCTCTCTCTCTCTCTCTCTCTCCCTCTCTCTGGTGATGTTGACCTCGTTATTACACGATATAATTTTGTGTCATTGCAGCGAATTTCAAGTGGTTTTAATAAAAAAAAGAGAATGTTATTTGTACTTTATTTATTAATTTTATTTAGATAAGTTAATAGAAAGAATGCTGATGCTTAAACTAATATAATTCATTGACTAAGATAAAGACAGCCCAACCAGCTCGAAAGAACAACGAAACTCGTGGCATAGAAATTCTGTAGAAAATAAGGAGGTCCATTTTAAAAGAATAAGTGCATGACCTTTGCCCAAGTCTTGGTCTTTTCTCAGCATCTATAATTAAAACCAACTAAGCCCGGCTAGATTGACCATCTGTGATTTTCTAATATTATATCATGCTAAGTACGTTTAGTAGTAACAACTAATTTAGTAAAATCAAATGAAAAACAATCGGTCAAACCTCGAAAATTATCTCATCGTAGTCAAGTTTATTGATTCTCATTTATAACTCATTCAAGTTCATAATCAAATTTATTCGGACGGAAAATATTTAACTAAAATTGGATTTGAACAATATGTACCTTTGAAGGTAAGGATAGCTAAAATGTTAAATACTAAGATGTATATATATGAACTTCAAGCATTACCCATGCCGGAAGAACCGTCGACGAAAAATCAAGGTAAACACACAACAACTATTTTTCAAAACTAGTTTTTCCCATCTACAAAGCCTAGTAAATGGTTAGAACACAATAGAAAATCAATAATACTTGATCGCAAGTGAGAATCCTCTCTCGAATTGCCCCGAAACTTAGCTGAAAGTAAAACCCATCAAACCGAAATCAATAACAAACTATGTGTAAATCAAACGTAAATCAACAACAAGGTTGAAAGGAATAACTTCAATAGATTTGCTTCAAAATGCTAAGTTCAAATTCAAGAACAAAAAGTACAACACAAGCTTTGAAAATGGAAATGAAAATGCACTCGTTGCCTATATTGTTATATACAGTAAAGTGGATATATAATTATACTAGAGATAACCCGTGCCTTCAAATTCAAAAAACATCAAGCACTAAATTTGGGCACGCCTCAATTCTGCATTAACAAACTACCGCAACAACATAGTAATATCAGTAATAGAATAATGTTCAACTTTATCGATATAGATCTGCATATATCAAATCCAACCTCCAATTCTAAAACATGCATTTAATTAACATCCATATCAGCACCCATATATAAATTGATATAACAATATGTTCAAAATTCAAGCAAAACTGAAATAAATCAAAATGATTTGTTTGATTAATCTTGTGTTTGTGCCTAAAGATGCTAAGTAACCAAAAACAAAACCAACAATTAGCAATAAATTCATTGGACAAAAAGTTAAATCCTGCATATGTTTTAAAAAAATTTGGCCAAAGTTTCCCCTAAAAATGGGACATCGAAATTTTTTTAACCAGTTTACACAATTTATTCTTATATCCAAAAAGACTACTAAATGTATAACTATCACGTCACAATTTTGCCTAACACAACCATTACCAACTAAAGCAACCACGTAAATGAAGTACATAACAACATATGAATTCCATAATAAAAATATTCATGTTGCATGCACCCAAGAATACTCTACTTAAACCCAACATTTATGCAATACTTTATGCACCAATCTATTGAAACAATAGAAAATTAATCCATAATTCCGAGAGAAAGAAAGAAATGGATAAAAAATAATTTATAATTTCGAAATGAAAGAAATGGATGAAAAATGGGTTACTGTAAGCCTAATGGGGATCAAAGGCTTGAATGTTATCAACATATAATTTCACTAGAAAACAACCCCAAGCATGCTTTCCATATATACCTGAAACAATATAAGGAACAAAAATCAATTTCGATTTTCTGGAACAAAAATTAATTATATACAACCCCAAACATGCTTCCACACACAAGCGAGTGTTGCATGGATTTGTGTGTGAGTGTTGCATTAGTGAGTGTGTGCAAGTATGTATAAGTGCTACTATTCAGAGAGGTGCAGAGTCAGTGTGTGCGAATGTTGTGTCAGCAAAAGAGTGATCAAACATGAATTTTGTACAGTAAACAAGTTTGGAGTGTAGTGCTCTTCCAAAATTTAGAATTGGTAATACCTTGATATGTTTTTCGTTAAATAAATTAACTTTATTGATTGGAAGAATTAGCATGACAAAGAAAAAGCGAAAAAATAATTAAAAAACTAAAGAACTTGACTTCTCAAAGTTACTTTTCCTCTAGCCAAGATATACAACCCCTGCATCCTTGAGCTCATATTGTTTCATGCAAGATCAAGCTTTCTTTGCCTTTTGGTCTACCTACCATAGGTGGTTCCTATTCGGTCAAAGAACACTGTAGAAACTTTAACCAATGTAATGAGCAACATTGTAGGGAAGCCAATTGAGAGAGAGAATGAATAGTCTCTATTTTTTGCTTCCAACGAAACTCGAAGGGGAGACCTCATTAATTTGGTGATAGGTTGTTCCTGTGTTTTCCTTTTACCTCAAAAAATAGTGAGAATACCATTTTGTTGTTCTCTAAAATCACACCTCAGTTCCTTGTTGCATTTCAATCCCCTTTCATCATCCTTACTAAAATTATTCCCTTCCAAACATACATACAAATGGTTTATCAAAAAAGTAGAATCTGAAGCTAATGGACACACTTTATGTCCTTTTTCAGTTTCTATTTTCTTATTTTCACTTGTGCTCAAAACATTAACATCTGAAGCTATGATTTCATGAACTACTACAGTTTCAATCCATTCACCTTGCTATCCTATTCCAATTCTGTTAGATCATCAATTTGGGGATTATCTATAATATCCTTTTGAATCGAATGAGTCACATTCCTATCATTTCCAGAATGATCACCCAATTCCATAACTTTGGATAAGCCAGCCAATTGCCTTTGAAGCTCAACATCCTCTGTATACTGGTTCATGCCTCCTGCCCCTCCATGGACAGCCTCAATAAATTCCCCAAACTTATGAGTTACCTGTTTTGATTCCTCTCCACAGCTAGAATCTTTACTCTGCTGCTTCCAAGTCCCTTTTGCTGGTGCACCAAACTTGAAGACCTTAATTGATTTGGATATTTCCTTTGAACACTCAATATCTCCTTATTTGGTTTTCCAGAATTTCTAATCTGCTGGATTTGGTTTTTTTTACTCTTCGCTGTAATTACCTTTTTCACTTTGGTTTCCTTAAAATTTGTATACGTACCTTCTGTGTCATTTGGCTGCATGGAAGATTTCGTTTTACGGTAATCATTTTCCCCATGACCTTGCTTCCTGCAGGTTTTACAATATTTCTTAATTCTTTCATAAACTATCCTTCGCCATCTTGCATCTTCATCCCCCATATCCAACCAAATTCTGGATGGATTCTTGGCCAGCAATTTAACCTCCACATATACTCTAGCTACTCATGGATTCTTGGCCATTTTGCATCTTCAACCCCTCATGTGTGTGATATGGTTTTACGTGCCGTCAAGTAATCATCATTTAAAGGCTAAACCAACGGTGACTCTAACACGGAAACATTGAAATACTAAACCAAGTAAGAGGGCCAGGACGGGTGAGCTTGGCATTACATTCTCCGACGCGGATTTGACAGGCGTAGTGACTCCTCATAACGACGCCCTTGTCTTGACCCTGAGGATAGAAAAATTCGACGTCAAAAGGATTTTGATAGACTTTGGAAGTTCTTCGGAGGTGATGTACTCCGAAACTTTAAAACGGATGGGTCTTGGCCCCAAAGACCTCACCAAAGTCAGGACACCCCTCATCGGATTCAACGGCTCGTTCGCCCTGCCCGTGGGGAAAATCACATTGCCAGTTGTCACAGGTCCCTTTGTCATCGACACCGAGTTTGTCGTGATCGATACGGACTCTCCCTACAACGTGATTATGGGGCGAACATGGCTGCATGCGTTGGGAGCGGTGCACTCCACTTTCCACCAGAAATTAAAATTCGCCACGCCAGAAGGTATCATGGAGATCCGGGGGGACCAAGCGTCCGCGAAAAATTGTTTTTATTCAGCCGTTCGAGCCGGGGCGTTCAGCCAGGAGAAGGGGCGAGCACCGGAAGAGATTATGGAAAAATAGCAATTACAGTCCGGGCGTCCAGGAATGGATGACCCCCGGATAGACCCAACTGAGCGGTCGGTAGAAGACCTCCGGAAGGTGCCCTTGGTAGAGGGAGAAGAAGAGAGGTATTTCTTAGTTGGGAACTCGATGCCCGCAGCCGAACAGGAGGAGATGATCGAGTTCCTAAGGGGAAATACAGACGTGTTCGCGTGGAACGAGATGGAAATGACGGGGGTAGACCCCGAGATAATCACACACAGGCTGTATGTTGACCCGTCGCACAAGCCAGTCAAACAGAGGCCACGATGCATGGCCCCGCATCACACCAGCGCGGTCAACGAGAAAATCGACAAACTCCTGAAGGCCGACGTCATTCGAGAGATACAGTTCCCAGAATGGCTGTCTAATACGATATGCGCAAAGAAGAAAGGGGGGAAATGGCGTGTCTGCGTAGACTTTATAGATCTAAACAAGGCATGTCCCAAGGACAACTACCCCCTACCAAAGGTGGACCAGCTGGTAGATGCCACTGCCAGATATGAACGATGGACTTCCTGGATGCCCGAGCAGGATATCATCAGATCCCTCTCTATCCCCCGGATCAGGAAAAGACGGCGTTTATCACTCCCAAGGGAGTTTACTATTACAAAGTGATGTCGTTTGGACTAAAGAACGTCGGGGCAACATACCAAAGATTGATGAATCGGATGTTCAAAAAGCAGATCGGCAACACCATGGAGGTCTACATTGACGATATGCTGGTGAAGAGCAAACGGAGTTGTGGTCATCTGACAGATTTGGCGGATACCTTCTCCACCCTCAGGGAGTATGGGCTGAAGCTGAATGCGGCAAAGTGCGTTTTCGGAGTGGAATCAGGTAAATTCCTCGGATACCTGGTTAGTCAACGAGGAATCGAAGCCAACCCAGATCAGATTCAAGCGATCCTGGACATCCGGAGCCCCCGCACTGTCCGAGAAGTCCAGAAACTCACAGGGATGCTGGCTGCACTTAACCGTTTCGTCTCACGCTCCTCGGACAAATGCAAACCCTTTTTCGGAGCAATCAAGAGTGCTGGGAAGAATATGTGGAGCCAGGGGTGCGAGGACGCCCTGGCTGGAATCAAGGAATACCTAAGGACTCTTCCAACCTTATCCGTCCCCACCCAGGGGGAGATGCTGTTCTTGTACCTGGCAGTATCTGAGTTTGCGGTAAGCGGGGTACTTATCCGTGAACATGAGCACCGCCAGAAGCCGATTTATTATATAAGCAAGGCGCTCCTGGACGCAGAGACAAGATATCTACCCCTAGAGAAACTGGCTCTATCCCTGGTCACCACTGCAAGGAAACTGCGGCATTATTTCCAGGCGCACCCAATCACTGTCCTTACCGATCAGCCCTTGAAAGCGATCTTGAGGAAAGCGGAACTCTCCGGAAGGATTTCCAAGTGGGCAGTAGAGTTGGGGGAGCACGACATTCATTTCAAACCCCGAACTGTGATAAAATGTCAAATATTGGCAGACTTCATAGCTGAATTTTCTGGGGAGCATCCCGTTTTAGAAGGACCGCCTCCTCCCGACTTAGCGTCTCCAACGAATTGTGAAGGATCGCCATGGCTTTTGTGTGTGGAAGGTTCGTCAAATAGTAAGGGGTCCGGAATCGGTATCTTGCTGACCTCTCCAGATGGGATTATTGCGGAGCAGACCGTTTGGCTGGGATTCAAGGCTTCGAATAATGAAGCTGAATACGAGACCCTTATCTCAGGACTTCGGTTAGCGGAGGCGACTGGAGTTACTGATTTAATCGTGCATTGTGATTCTATGCTAGTAGTCAAACAAGTTAATGGAGAGTTTGAGAGAAGGGACCCTAGGATGAAGGCCTACCATCACCAGGCGACGACTGTAATTCGAAGGTTCGGCCGGATTGAAATCAAACAAGTGTCCCGAGACAAGAACACACATGCCGACACCCTGGCTTGTCTAGCCTCGGCGGTGGACTCCTCCCAGTCGCGCAGGATCACCATTGAATACCTTCCCGCATCTTGCATAGATCATGCTCCCGAGGTAATGGTAATCCAGGACGCACACAAGCTGCCTAGTTAGATTGATCCCTTTCTCAGGTTCCTAACAACAGGAGATCTCCCGAAGTGTTCAAAGGAAGCAAGGAAGATAAAACTTAAAGCTCCAAGATTTTGGGTCTGTCCGGATCAGAAACTGTATCGGAGGTCTTTCTCAGGGCCTTACTTGCTATGCGTCCAAGAAGACCAAGTACAAGACCTTCTCTATGAGGTACATGAAGGAATATGCGGGGGGCACTCT